TGTAATTAAGTCACGCTACGGGCCTGAATTACACAGTTATACTGTAATAGTGGACAATTAAACACCCCTGAGTGGACGCAACACCAGAATTCAACAATGTTATGTTATGTTGACTGGGAATATATTGTGAACACTGAGTTTTTTTACAGTGGTGGGTTTGATAAGTAGAAATTTGTTTAAATTTCCTATGATACATTTGAAACATAATAGAGGTCTCCGTCTAATGAAAGACCCCTCCAATTAAAGACCACCTCCAGTTATCCACTTTTATGTGGTACCACTTACCAAATGTCTTTTATTTATTATTATTCTAATTAAGGGACCAAAGCTGCTAAAGACCATGAAAACCCCGGTCCCAAAAGTGGTCTTTAATAATTGGAGGGAGACCACCGTTTGATAAATGTAACACTACTTTATCCTAAAAACGTCAGCACCATAACATATTTATATTTAAAAAAAATATCACAAACTTTCCTCAGGATTCGATCGTGGTTGGAGCACTGTTTGTTTATTTTTATTTTTTACTTTTATTTATTCTGGCAAATGAAAATTAATATAAAAACATTTCAAAAACAAACACTAATTTAAGGAAGGTCAGCCAGGGATTCAATCTGACAAAAACTCAAAAGCTGTTATGTTTGATCTGAATTTATTGTGTCCCAATAACAAGTCGTTCGAACCTATCGAATACAAAATACAATAAACTACATAACTCAAAATGCTCAAACTTTTCAACGCTATAATATAGATTAGCGTAATTTTACCTAGTTAATACTCAATACATCTCATATAATCAGTGCTTAAACTCACACTTTTTGACATCCAAGATTCAAATTACAGCTCAACTCTTGAACTCGGTATACTCTACTAGATGACAGCCTGAATGTTGAAATATCAATTAACCTAATGACAAATACAAAGCATTATCAAATAATGTTGAAAATAGCAGTGTTTCTCTTATATTAATAAGTAATAATAATGATAATATTTATTTGAATTATGCCATTTGTATCGATGAAACTCAAAGAAAAATACCTAAAGTAATTTAAACATATTATTCCTCTCGTAGACCTTCATGAAGAAAAACCCGAAATAATGCGATTCTCACATCATAGCAATACAGCCGCTCTATTGTATTACATGGTATACCATGGTTACTCTGGCAGGCCCGTAGCCAGGTCATTTCTATAAAATTGTTAAAAGACACCTCAGAATTCTAGAAAGCTCATTTCCCACCATCTAAGAATCAATTTTTTTTTCTGGGGAGGACCCTCGGACCCCTTTCTTTCGGCGTTTTTATGAAAAAAAAGTCTGACCCCCCTCCACCGCCCTAAATGTAAACCTAAATCTGCCCCTGTGCACATATTGTACTGTCTCTTATACACATCTAGATGTGTATAAGAGACAGTTATTTGATGGTAGTCCATGTCTTTCCTGTGTGTCATTGTAACTTTTTTTTCTACATACGATGTCTTTCGGTAAACTGAACTGCAGTACATTCTACACTCACTCTTACCGTATTTCTGCGGTTGTTATTGAAAAACATGAACTGCTTCATAAAGATGAATTTTAAGTTCACATGGTTTTAACAGCCTCAGCATCTTTTAATGAGATTTGAGCGGCCATCCATGGGCTGTTTTTCGAAAAAAAATTACTTATAATGGTCGTTAAAATCACAAGAGTAGGCTAAATAAGAGAAATTATAATGGCTGTATTTCCAGGTAACCCAAACAAAACATATGTAGTCAGTCGCGTTGGCGCACCGTAAAGGCTGTCTCTTATACACATCTAGATGTGTATAAGAGACAGGGTTGGTACATTTCTTACAAACATTCAGCCAAAGGCCGGTGAAAGTTGAGACGGCAGCCGTGTTTTTATCTATGTTTGCCATCCTTATGTGTGCCATCGTAAAGGAATTGCGTTTTAATTTAAATCTCCGAACTGACATATTCTATGAATGTAGGCTTGTAATGCAGGCTACAATTTAAAAACGGGTGGGACTCATTCAAAAATTCGAGGGGGTTCGCTAGAAAACAGGGGGGTTCGCTAGAAAAGGGGGGTTCGCCCGAACCATAAAACCCCCCCCCTGGCTACGGGCCTGTCTGGTCAAAAGTTCTAACCACTAGAGATAAAACACTAGTTGATCCCTGAAAGTGTTTTATCTCTAGTGGTTAGAACCTTTGACCGGAGTATACCATGTAATACCATGTAATACAATAGAGCGGTTGTGTTGCTATGATGTGAGAATCGCATTATTTCGGGTTTTCTTCATGAAGGTCTACGAAGGTCTCTACAGTATATTATACTGTAACTTACACTAACTTAAAAATGCGAGTCCCAAATAAGCCTCATAACACTGCAAATATCATTCCGCATATATAAAATGCACTAGACTCTTAAATACCGCAAATTAAGGTAAAGCAATGCGCAATTACTAATAATCATTATAAGTCAATCGTGACGTCATCACCGTAACTCCCAATGTCATTTGCCTATTCCCCAGTGTCCAATAATTTTTGTATTATTGGACGCTCGGCTTGATTTTTTTAGGTTCGTGTGCAAAAAAAAAAATCCTCATTTTTTCGTCACCGCGAATACATCGCGCACTGCGATAAAAATTGAATTGTAATTGAAAATTACTTTCGTAAAACAAGCTTAATTGGAACCGGAAGAAAGTTACTTCAAATTCAATATTAAGTGAACAATTAAGGAATTCATTGAATCAATGGACCCTCATAAACAACAAACAACAACCAACACAACACAACATAACACAACAAACTGAACGTTTAATAGAAATATTCTAGACCTATTTTAAAGACTCAAGGAACAAATTTAGATGTAGGCCTACGGCCAGGCAGGCTGCCCGGGCCTCCTCCTCCTCCTACTATTGTATAGCCTGGCCTAGTTATGAAATCATTGCACGATTTTACCTGTCTGCATGCACCGACCAAAAAGGACGTCAGTGACTGTATCCCCTCTCGAATGCTGAAATGTTTATTTCTTTGACGAAAGTCTATCAATATAGCGTTACAAACAAATTCTTTCTAACACAATAGTTATTCATTGTATCCGTACTGTTATTTATTTATTTATTTATTTATTCAACAATATTTCGAGAGGGTGACCCATTCAGCGTGAGCTGATTTTAAGGGGCCCTCGACAATACAAGAACATATTTACAAAAAACAAACATCAACAAGTTAAAAGATTATTTACAAAAAAAAATTCTATAAAATACAAAGGGAAAACAATCAGTTTAAAAGTAGATGGAAAAAAAGATTAAATTGTACTATTATAAAATAAATAACTTTTTAATTTAGTTTTAAAATTGGAAAATGTGCTAGAGTTTCTTATAGAGACGTCAAGTGAGTTAAAATATTTGGGACCTTTATATTTAAAAGAATGTTTAAAAAGTTCGCATTGAGGTCTTGGAACGACAAGGTTCCCCCCCCCCCCCCCCCC